GAAATTTTGAGCAGATATATCAGCAAATTTTATGTTTATTTTATTATTGATAGTGGGGTGGAACTAAGTCCCTTGTACTGCGGCCACTTCTGGCCTATTGTACCAGCCCCAGATTGTGGAGCAGTTGGTGGAATGAAGATTGGCAGGGGAAACCGAAGTACTCGGAGAAAACCCGCCCCAGCGCCACTTTATCCACCACAAATCCCACTTGACCAGACCCGGGATCGAACCCGGGCAGCCGCCGTGGGAAGCCAGCGACTAACCGCTTGACGTATGGCGGTGCCATCAAAATTTTATGTTAATTTTGGTAGTTTGTAATGAGAACAGAAGTATCAAGTAGCTAGTTAGTTATTTAGTTAGTGCACCTGCTCCTCTGCAGGAAAAGGAGATAACTGTTATGTTTCTGAATGTGACAATATATTTTGCAGGCTGGGAAGCAAGTTTTCTACAGCATTTTGATACAAGTTATGTCTAAATCTTCATGAAATGTCTCATATTTCTGATTTATAATTCCAAGCTAAAAATTCGAAAGTTATCCTTCAATACACATCAGACCATGGCGGAGACTAAATTCATAATTAACGTCAATCATGTTGTGACTAAATCATTTTCCCCAAATTACTTTTAGCAGTTAACTCAATTCGGACGCACTGTTTCCACGAACATGTTACAGAAAAACTGAAAGCCTGATACCTGGGTGCCGTCAGTTCCCCTCAGGACAGGAAACCAGTCACTGTGGAGTAAAACTAACGCGAGAGAGAGAGAAAGAGAAACAACAGATACAAAGCGAATGATCTATAGCAAGATACCTGAAACGTTAAAATACATTCCCAGACCCAGAAGATGAAGACTAATAGTAGAAGATTCAATGTCTGGAACCAAAATTAAAGAAAACAACAAGGACGAGGTTACTGTGTAAAACTATCTGAAAATTCACTTCTTCTTCGGAAGGAAAATAAATATTTCAGCTACATTTCTTTCTGTCATGTACGACACGACAAAATACAGACTAAAATGAGTTGACAGCAGCACTCAGCTCATTCAGATAATGTTTCTATCGATTGGATTTTGACTCTATAAACTTTCGGGAAAGCGAAGAAAGGGACTGCACAGTGAAGAATGCTGAAAACCTGTGGTGTAAAACCCTTAAACACAACTTCGCAACACAGCGGACCTTAAAACGCCGTTCTTTGCAAAGCCTATAAACAGGAAATAAGAAACATGTTTGAAGGAGTGGGGTCGTTTAATTACGGCCACGTGCCAATTATTGGAATCATTGCGAAACGTGACCAGCTCCGGACGAGCTAATAAACATCTCCCCTCGGTCACCAGGCGATGGGGTGTGGGCAGCGGTTGTTATTGAAGGGGCCTTAGGGGTGGTAGTAGTGAGTGTGATTTGCTGTTTGCACGTACCAAGTATAGGATCGTGTGATGCGATGTTATGATTCCCTTGGGTCCAAATGTCCAAAGGACTAAACGGAACAGGCGTTTGTCTATTCATTCGAGCTATACATTATTGTAGTGACTGGGTGCACTACAGGTGCTGCACCTACAATACAGTGATTCGATCATATTGTCGTCAAACGTTTTGATTGGACGTGACAGTACAAAGGGTCGCAGTCATACATTTTGTAAAGCCATTCATAATTTCATGACCGCCTCTGTGGTCTAGTGTTCAGAGCTCCTGGCTACAGATCCAGAGGTCCCCGTTTAAATTCCGTGCGCTACAAGATTGTCTGAGAAGTAGTGGGTCTAGAACGGGGTCCATTCAGCCTCATGAGGATAACTGAGGAGCTATATCAATGAAACAGCGGCTCCGGTCTAGAAAACTGAGATTAACGGCCGTGGGGATCAGTTGCGTTGACCACACGACACCCGCCATCAGCTAAAAGTTGGCGCTAACTTCGCCGACAAGCAGCGGTCGCTCGGTCGGTATAGTTCACTTGCGGACTACAGGCCACGGAGTTTTTTGCGATATTTTTTTTTTAATATTTATAATTTTATAATGCGTATTTTAAAAACACCTATTAGACCTATATATTAAGTTGTTCCATTACGTCTGGTCACAACTTAAACAACCAACTCAGCGGACTGGAGTTTTTGAGAAGCCGGTAGTCACTGAAACAGTCAGGACAATGCACGCTTTTATCAAGTACTGAGGCTCATTACTGTATTGAAAATAGCCTGCCACACCATATGCCAGCTGAGTCCAATCTACATCCTTATACCCAGTTTCTCTAAGATCCACTTTAATATCATCTCCCATTCATACCTGGCTCTCCAAGTGGTAGTTTCATCTCAGTTTTTCTAATAAAAATGTTGTGCTGTGTTCTACTATTACCCCCCCCCTCTCTCTCTCTGTCTCCCCGAGCCACGAATGAGCATGAGAAGAAACGTTTAAATCTCGAAACGTATAAATCATTAGCAATATTTCACGCTCCTCTATACGAACACATTTGCATATACGTTAAATTGTAATTACTAAGATAAGCGAAAGGAGTATGTCAGTTACGCGTACTGCGTTGAAGAGGATGGTTTGAACTGTACGTGGATATGAGATGCTGATGATATTTATGAAGGGCAAAGAGTCTTGCTCATTTATTTTGTGACTAGGCTTTAACAATTAAAGCGATAAAGGATGATATACGTGGTAGAGACGTTAATTTCGTGTTTTATCGCATCATATTACAAGGTATTCACATACACTTACACAAATCCACATCTGCCCTCAAAATAGTTGCCGTTGGCCGCTATGCAAGTCTACCAACGTCTCTTGTGGCAATGACCACCTCCTCGGACGACTGAAATCTACGACCACGTAGCTTTGCTTTCACGCGATGAAAGAGAAAGAAATCGCATGGTGCGAGATCAGGTGAGTACGGAGGGTGAGGCAAAACGGTGACCTTTAGCCTTGCCAGTTCTTCTTGGACAAGAACAGAGCGATGTGCATGGGCGTTGTCGTGTAGCAACGGCCAATTCTTCTTATATCAAATGTTTGTTAGGGGATTTGTCTAGTTTTTGGCAAAACTTGATGTTTGCCCGTTCTTCAAACTGGACGTAATGGAGAATCCTTCCTGTCAGGATTTTTGGATTCTCAACTCTGACTCGAAACAGGTACTGTAAAGTTGCGAGTAATAACTGGGCTGATACTTACGCGTACAATCTCTGTGTAGCTATTGTTTCTGAAAATACTTTAACCTAACATTTGAAGCATTACAATATATAACTCAAATTTTGAAATATTTACTAGTTTGGATGAATTAAAATAATGTTTCAATAAAATTGCGAAGCGAGGTAGCTATATTAGTTTAAAATTCTACCTTGAAATACGGATCAGAATCGCAAGAGTCTCCATAAACAGCACTACGTTTGATTGCAAAAGGAAAATTGAAGTTCGTAGTGGCTGAGGCACTATGCTACAAGTCGGAAGGTCGCGGGTTCGAATACCGATGAGGGCATTGGATTTTTTTCAATTGACCTAATCCTTCCGGCCGCACTATGGCCCTGGGGTTCACTCACCCTCTAACAGAAATGAGTACCACGAATTAATTAAATAATTATCCTGGGGAGTAAAGCGCGGGCGGCGCGTAAGGCTGACAACCTTACCGCCATCTTTGAGCCGATTGTCTAGATAATGTGGGACCCTCAACGTCTCACAACCCTATTAGCCTTCACGGCCTGTTACAGGGATAGCTTTACTTTACTTTTTACTAGTGTTTGGGTCCCAGAGTATTCAGGAATAAGGGATAGCCTCCATTTTACAGAGAGGAATGTTTCTACACGGAACCAACTTTTGGGACGATACCGTCGTGAAAAATGTCAACAAATCAATTCGAAATATTCTGCTTTCATCACACGTCAGAATCAGCAATTGGTATGAGAGCACATGTCAGCATTGGAGGCTGCACCCTTACGCAGCCAGTCCTTGATCTCGTTCAGACAGAATATGAGAAAAGATGGTTTCTGTTTCGAACGCAAGAGAGCACTGCTGGTTTTTCCGAGGCATTCTGCACCAGGTGTTACCGGCGATTACTTTGCCAGACATTTCTTGTGACTCTACTTTCTTATTTCACTTTGCTTTAGAACGACATACTTGTTTAAAATTAATACGGGCCGGAAACTTTAAATTTGAGGTTTTTGCCGGTGTGAAAACGTAGATTTTGGTCTTACTGAAGATCAGTAGGTGGTTACCAGCGTTCCGAAGAAGCCTGCTGTGTCCATGTTCAAGGCATAAGTGAGCTAACCCAGAAGTCCGGAATCTAGCATGTTACGTAATAAATAATATTGATATACAAAATTCTTTAACAACGCCAATGTAAATTCTAAAGCATATAATATTATTCCGACCGTCTCTATGGTCTAGTGTTCAGAGTTCCTGGCTACAGATCCAGAGATCCCAGGTTCAATTACCGGCGCTACCAGATTTTCTAAGAAGTAGTGGGTCTAGAACGGGGACCACTCAGCCTCGTGAGGATAACTGAGGAGCTATTTCAAGGAATTGGCGGCTCCGGTCTAAAAAACCGAAATTATCGACGGTGGGGAATCGTTGCACTGACCATGTGACATCCTCTATCCGCTAAAGTTGGCACTAAACTTTGCCGACAAGCGGTGGTCGCTCGGTTGGTATAGTTCGCTTGCGGACTAAAACCACGGAGTTGTATACTTTTTTTGCAATACTATCAGGCATTATCTGCCATCCACTCACTTATTTACACCTAGAGACACAGTCTTGATCTTGAATATATTATACCATCAGAGTTTTCATATATTTTCCAGTACTCAGTCTTTAATGATGAAGTATAAAATACAGTCTCTTATAATTAGCATCCAGTCATTCGTTCATACCTGCTCTTATTCGTCGTGGGCAGTAACACAGAATCGGGAAATCCCCGCTCACTTCCCGCTAAACTGAACTGTCATGTGACGGTATTTACTTATACCAGAGGTCCATGGGATTCCCCGCAAGTTTAATGCGTGTCTGTATAAATGATAGTACTCACGGTTCATGTCGAGAGAGACGGTGCTGGAAATGGGCGCCACCAAATTGTTGTTGCTGGCCTGACATGTGAATTCAGTGTGAAGATGCCGTCGCCCTAGTTTCTCGAGACGAAGAACATTCTGCACTCGACGATCCGGCACTTGCTCATACGAATCGTCCAGCAAAGCATTCTCCTGCCACCACGTCACTCTGGGAGTTGGACGGCCTGCGTCACACCAGAATGGGTACATTACTTAGGAATCATGTTCCTATCAAGTGTATTAGTCCACTCAATTGATCTAGTCTAATATAAATTAATAAATAACATGAATGTCATTATAGAACTTAACCTTTTTCGCCATTCATTATTAAGGCATCATTAACACAAACCCGATGAATTCCGTGGTACAAGTCCTGATGTTATGACGCAGTAAGAGCCAACATTGTCTTGGGGATTATAATATTTGAGGCGCATCAGGTAAACCTGATGATTCGGAACGGACTATAAATCTACTTCCGACTTCATGCGATTGGTTAGTAGTATACGTATTTCTGTATACAATAAGATTGTAATGGTGCTGCGTGAGGTTATGGCAACAATGTGCAGCGGGGTAACGCTATAGGGGCTGATTGAAGGCTGAAGTGTTTCTGAAGACAGCTATATTTGTTGTCAACTGTAGTCGTTTTTATGAAAAATGTTCGCTTGGAAGAATTTCTTTGAACCTGTATTTTTGCAGTATTGGATGTTATAATTTGAGTGTGAGTACGGGAAGCAGAGGCCCTTGTTTTCATTGGTTTATGGTTTATTTGATGACAATGTCAATAACTCGTATCATATAGCTTCGAAATACAGAAATATTATCGACTTCGAGGGACAGCACAATGGGAAGGAGCGTGTTCATGGTTTCATTTGAGTTACTATAGCAGCATTTGCTGGAGAGGCTGAGGGAAACCATAGAAATTGTCTTTCAGGAAATGCAGCATTTCCAGAACGTGCAGTAGAGCGTTGCCGTCAAATTTCAGCGGCAGATTCGAAAGAAACCTTAGGTTCTTACGACTGAATATCAAATATATTTCTAATATTTGCAAAATCTCGCATGCTCCTTGCATTGTAAGCTCTGTGCAAACATTTGCAATGCTAAATGGGATCAATATTTAACGATTACTAGACATAAAATTAATAATACCTACTGACCTGCGGTAAGAAATTACTGGTTGAGAGAGAGAGGTTTTATAAGGTAGAATGGAAAATAAATTCTTGTTTAAGGATATTGAGCCATTGTTAAACTGACGTATGGGTTTCCAATACGCTTTTATTGGAAGAATATGAATTATCTCTACCGCGACGTTCTGCATAAATTTACTGAGTATTTATATGCGAGGATAATAGCATATAATGGAGATATTTAGCTTACGGGAATGCTGGTAATAAAATACTCAGGGGAGAACATGATATTTCTTAACAGTTTCAAATAAAAGGTAACAATGGATATATTTATAAGTCCCTGTGGATATTTACTGCACAATGTAACCACTCGACACCCACATTTTAGAATGTGAACTGTTGTTCTTAGTTCCCAATTGCAATAGCTAAAATACAAAATCCGGATTTCAAGGCTCCAAACATCGATTTCCTTTCCGTGCATTCGGTGTCTCTCTCCTCCTACTTCAGCATGAAAATTCCCAAAGGTACAAAACCCAATAGCCGTTCTTCTGATCGGGTTCACAGGGAAGAGTTTCAACATGTGCTTCTACTCTTCTGTGTAAGGAAGAACTCGCAGCAGTCAAATGTTTGGGTTTTCAGTCATTTGTCCGTGTGCATGTCCGTAATAAATTCATAATTAACAAGGTTTCATAAAAATGTACATAAACAACATGTGCCTGGAGACCCCATTGTATTTTTCAGTCTCTTACCATTAATAATACGAAGAGTATAAACATGCAAACGTCTGTGGTGGGAGAGGCTCTAGAGCTAATATTCTAAAATATTGTGTAGAAGTGGAGCCCGATAACTCGGTTCATATAGTGGCCATGTTAAGGGGGGGGGGGTAAGAAGAGGAACTGCAGTTTAACTTCCGACAGAGATTTTCGTCTTTCCCACAGTGACCAGACCTACCTGGGGCCCAACCAGCCCCCACGTAATGTACACCGGTGGCTCTACCTCAGGAAGTAAAGCGGCAGAAGCGTGAAACTCACCACATACTACACCTGCTCCTGAGGTTAAGAATGCGCGAAACTCCATGGTGTGATGCTTTATTAAGCAAAGGGAGAAATTTACTTTGTTTTTAATAAATCTTTAAGTATTGTATAACACTGGTTATGGTACGTCTTTAAGAATAAAACAGAACAGTGTTGAAGCAAAATGAAAATTTACATTACAAATTGATAGTGATAAATAATTAATAATTTGAGACAGGCATGTAAAATATTGTGCAGAGATGAGCAATAAACATGCCTACAAACACCAATCGTTTTTAATGTTTGCCTACTGATTGCAAATATGTTACAATTGTTGAAGTTACTTTTGACAAATTTTGCGTAGTCATACGTAATTATAACTAGTGGGAATTATGAATCGAAATGGTTTATTAAATTATATAATTATTCGTCTGTAGTTCATGTTTGTTTCACGACATGTGAAGGAATGTGGTTATTTGTACAGTTTCTTTGTTAACAAGGGCACACCCCAAGCCTCGCATACGAGAATGCAGTACCCCTTTATGGCGTGCCCCTTAGCCACGGCCCCATCGATTGATTAAAGGTGTGGGTATCATACACCAAATAGGACTGAATTATCCTCTATCCTCACAGCATACTGGCAGGACATTCTGTCCTAGCAACCATTACATGCTACACGGCAGGTTTAGCAGTTCTATCACTGTTATTGATTAGGATTATTAGACGTTTAATATACGCTTCCGGGTCAAAAAGTAAATTGCAAACCTTCCGAATATGAAATGCAGGGGGGCTAATCGGCCGACTGCGACATTTGGGCGCAATATTTTTTGTTTAAATTTAGCTCTGATTATTACGCAGGCTGTATTCACGACGCGTCATGTTCACATGGCATACACGTCCGTAACCAACAGGCTTGTTGTGTTAATCGAATTATTTCTAAAATTTCAAACCTCTGTTACCAAATTATGATTTCATTTCTTTTCATTCACTTTTCGAACATATTTCCAAATATCACAGATACCAAGCTTAATGAAAGCCGGTCACGGTAGCCGAGCGGTCTAAGGCATGTACTGTCTTCGCTCGCTATGAATCTGGGATCGTGGGTTCGAATCCCATTAAGCGCATGGATGTTTTGCGTTTGTTTGCGTGTGCGTATTTTTCTGTGTTAGTGTACAGGTAGAGGCCTTGCGACAAGCTGATCACCCGGTCAAGGAGTCCTACCGAATGTCTAAGAACCAGTAATCAGATGTGAAACGGACAGTTTCATGGAGGTAGACCAAGGCCCAAATTGCGGTTGAAGCGCGAAAGAAAAAGAAGCTTAATGAAGAAGGGGCGTCGAATACTGATTTAACAAAAAAAAATGCGTTCGGCTTCTCTTAAGCATAAGATTTATATTAGGCAGGGAACAGAATTTGAAAGGATAAGAAGATTTTAAAAGGATGAAAGCACGGTTAAATTCAGAACGTGTTAGGAAGTGGGCGCGGCCTCGTCCAGTACCTTTCAGTCGGCTATGGTAGAATGACGATATTTCAGCATCTTCCGCCTAGTAGATTACTCTTATCAAGATCCGTGTTTTAAAGGTATTCCGTTTTCAAAAGAGTTTCCTTTAAGTTTTTCGGAAGGAACGACAGAATGAACAGCGCTTCATTTTATTTTCACTTTCGCTCATCACACTGAACTCCTGTCCAGCGTTCGGGGCCTATAACGGAAGGAGATGTACGTACTAAAAAGTTTCGCTTCTTGAAATTTTTTACACACGACACTGTGGGACCTAATGAGACAACCAATGGCGATAACCGATAGGTTGATCGTGTAGCATACCTGCCCTCCTCCCTGTTATTCTGCCTGAATATTACGAACAATTTCACCCCACTCAAGCAGAACTATCGGAGAAAGAAATTCAGTTTACTTGAACTTCGCGTATATACCTATATAAAAACATTATTTTTAGGTATATAAAGAAGTTATGTGATTCGGAATTCTGGTATTTGTAAACCGTTAACGATAAATAATTCAACATAAAATTTATAAAAATAATTGCGGGAATAAAGGAGGATGGGGTGGGTAGGGAATGTAGCACGAATGGAGAGGAAAAGGAATGCATATAGGATATTGGTGGGAAAGCCAGAATGAAAGGGACGACTGGGGAGACCAAGGCGTAGGTGGGTGGACAACATTAAATTGGATCTTAGAGAGATAGGATGAGATATGGATTGGATTGATCTGGCTCAGGATAGAGACCAGTGGAGGGCTCTTGTGGACACGGAAATGAACCTTCGGGTTCCATAAAATGCTGGAATATTCTTGAGTAGCTGCAGAATTGGCGGCTCCTCAAGAAGGGCTCAGCTCGGTGAGTGAGCAGGTATATAAGTAGGTAGGTAAGTAAGATATTCCGAAATATCAAATGAATTTAACACATTTATCTAGCCAATTCCGAACTGATTCTCTAGGTTAAAAAATGTTGTGGATTTCAATATAAGTTGCCTGAAGTTGCTGACTAGTTGTTCCATATACGTGTACTCATAATGAAAACAAAAAGTGAAATAGACTCCGGAATTGTTGTCAGAGGACAATCCTAACATTACTCAAACTCTAAAACAAATTCTGTAAAACTGAAGGCTTACTTTGGGTGTATGAACCGCAGAGAATGTAATACAAAGCTGCATAATGACAAAGAGGAACACAAAATTGTTGTGTCATGCTGTGCTCTTACCTCCAGTGGCGATGCAGGTAATATTCACGCTGGATCCCTCGTTGTAAGGTCCGAGAATGTGGTGTGGAATATTTGTGCCTTTGTCATCCATAATTATTAGTTTCTCGGGTGGAACTGCAACAGATAAATTGTACTTGATAATCAGAGGATCTGATAGCGTAACGCTTCATTTAAACAATTAATTACGGAATTTGCTTGATTGGAAATTAAATTTTTAAAAATTAATAATATGAAATTGTGATTACTTAAAGCATACCAAAGAATATTCCCTGTTCTTAACTAATTAAGCACTAAGCCATGAAGGCGTATGGGGAAGCGGATGTATATATCCACATTTTCTTGACCTCGGCATTAGTTGGCGTTGAGTGGTCAGATTAACGCACCGGCCGCTTTACTCTCGAGTAAAGAACTCCTGGTACGCATTGGACAGGAGGCTGGGTGGGCCTCAGAACCGGTGGAGAAGAGAAAATTCTTGACCCTACCGGTACTCGAACTCCGTCCCCTCCGTCACACAGCCCTTACTCACTCGCTATACCGACTATGCTACCCCGGCTCATTGTTTGAAATACATAACACAATTTTAAACAAGGATGTTGTCCAATATTCAAAATACTACAGCATTATTTTAAAGATTAAAATAAAACATTCTTGTGATTTGACACGATAATACACGAATTTAAACAAAGACTGTTGAAATCAGTCCAACATAGGAATAAGTTTATGGTATGAATATGGGTAGTGATAAGGCTTCAAAAGCTCACCACCCTCGACTGGGTGTTCGGGGTTGCGAGGTAGGACATCGGGGTGCAGAGAGTTCAAACGCTAGCAAAGCAAGCTCGAAAGAGCAATTATAGATTAGCCAGACCCGGACAAATTAATGGGTAGAAATGAGAAATGGATTCAAGGTGTGAAGGTCGACTCAGAAATCGTAAATCAGAATTAGTGAGAGATAACTGGCAGAAACGGAGGCTACACAGCCCCATGAATTTAACACCGGGGAATAAAACGGTGACGTGAAGGTTGTGGGGGGGGTTATACGTGAAGCTGCAATTGTGTGCGAGTACATCCGTGGACCTACCTTACGTAATTTACCCGAAGGAACTGCAATACAGAAATTTCGACAGCTTTTCTTTTATTGCTAGTGGGGTGGGACTAAGACCCTTATACTGCGGCCACTTCTGGCCTACTGTACCAGGCCCAGATGACAGGTGAGGGTGATTGTGGAGCAACTGGTGGAATGAATATTGGCAGGGGAAACCGAAGTACTCGGAGAAAACCTTCCCCAGCGCCACTTTGTCCACCACAAATCCAACTTGACCAGACCCGGGATCGGGAAGCCAGCGACTAACCACTTGGGCTATGGCGCGGCCTTTCGACAACTTAATACAGCATTTCAACTAGTCACAGGCAAAGTTAGCCATTCTGTATTAAGGGAAGAACTTACGTAGGATAAAGGCAAGAGTCAGGAAATATGAGTATTTCCCCCCATAAGTGAATCGCATAACAAGTTCAGTCACTCAGAACGTAATAATAAATTCTAGCTGAAGTTAAAGGAGATATGGGTTAATTTCTTGACTTTAATCCTGAGAACTCCGATATTCAGCAAATTAATAAGAGTAAAGTATAAACACGCGTTAAAATAAATGGTTTTCACAACGGAGTGTAAAGAGAAGTTTACTGTAGCAGTCATATCCGGAGCCAACGCACATCCGACTATAATTTCCTAACATGGGGACACAAGTGTTTCGTATTTATGCTGTATTTCTCATCTACTTTGCTTAACAGTTTTAGCGTTGTAATTAAGATGGACTGTCATTCCAGTTCGAGGCTTCCACCTTGCCTTTGTTTCAGTATCTGCTTAAGGTTTCTTCCAATGTGCACAGCATTCCATATTTTGTTAAACTGTAAGGAGTTAATAATTTTTAAGAAAAATGAGAACTAAATTATGCTATCACAACAATATCCATCCACATTTAAGAATGTTACTTATTCTTACATAGATATGTTTCAGTCGTGTACTTCATGAGTCTGTGCTCACCCATATAGGTAAGGTTCGCCCACCAGTTTCAAAATTCATATCTAGCTATCCCCATACAATACATAAAAAAAATAACGCAGTGCTATTTCAGGGATTGAAATTCTCTGACATTAATGTCTCAAAACATTAAACGTTAAGTCACTATGTGAACGGTTTAAAAATTCTTGTTCACACTTGATACTGCTATTTAAAGAAATCACTATTACAATAACTATGCTGCTTCTTCAAAATTTAAAAACTCCATACAACATCACAAATATTTACTAGGTCATATAATTTCAACAGTTATATCACACTGTTAGTAATTTGCATTATATTTACTTAGTTTTCCCATATATAATTTCCGTTCACTTTTTCTTACACAACGACTATTTGAACCACTAACTTTCTGTAGCGAAGTGCTGTTCTGTTGCCTATACTAACGTGACTGAACGGTTTTATAATATTGGAGTTACTTCGAGTTTGGCCGCGCCATAACTCAAGCGGTTGGTCGCTCGCTTCCCATCGCGGGGGCCCGGGTTCGATCCTAGGTCTGGTCAAGTGGGATTTGTGGTGGACAAAGTGGCGCTGGGGCGGGTTTTATCCGACTACTTCGGTTTCCCCTGCCAATCTTCAATCCATAAAATTCTCCATCATCATAATCACCCGGGACAGGCTACAATAGGCCAATCAGTGGCTGCCGTGCCGAGTGTACCCAGTTGGACTTCATCCCCCAATAAGCAAATTGAAGAACAGTTTCTTCAACTTTACGAGTATAGTTCATGCCTCATATCGCGAGGCCACTCCACAGATCATCCTAAGAAATTCTCCACGCGTCTTCACTTCATCTAAAATTTATGCCCTTCACTAAATATCTACGCTACTGTGGTTAATTGTGAGTTACAGACCGAAAAGGAGAAGAAAGAGCAGTTGAAGTACGTCTCAGCACTTTTTTCCCCACCGCCTTCTCTTCCATTCTCTTCCCTTTGCTAGATTTGTTACACATGAAACAACAGAATGTTAGACAACGCTGTTTAAAACTTCCACCAGAAAGCCACGCTGTGACATATCAACCCATCTGGGAGTTCTCGAGATGTGTTATGTGTTCGTGTAGCTAACATGACTTCGAAAATTGAAGAGGAAAGAAACAAAAATGAGCTTCTGTTGTAGTTGAAGAAATTAGCTTGTTGCCACTTTACACGAGAGTGTTTTCGAAACTGTTTTCCTACCAGCCTCCATTTTACTTAATGGTATAATGGCCACCGTCTCCATTCTTAAAATTTACTGTAGTCAGTGCCCACAACAGTAATTGTTACAGCACACACTATAATAGCTGGAAGGAGTTTAAGCCAGAACAGTGGTTTCAAAACAGTTGCTCGCAGAAACAGTTTCAAGTCTGAAATATGCAACCACATTTTATAACAATTTTTTATTTCCTAGAATTGGGGGCGCAGAATGCAAAATCAGCGAAATAAGCTGAATTTCAATATGCAACCAGTAAACAAGAAAAGTGTGAATATTTAAATGCATATGGACGAATATAACAAGTAAAATATTATTTTAAGAAAATAAATTTTTAAGTGCTTACTATGATTTCGGTTAGAATATTTCACCTGGTTCCCAACTCAATACTATTACGTTACTGTACGCAAAACAATAACATTATCCTTGCTTTGGTATGGCTTCAAAATATGGCATCTAACTTTGAATGAAAAACATAAATTGTGACCTAAAGTAAAGTGTTAGGAAATTTATAACTTCTTTATTAAGGCCGTCACAACACAACTATATCGAGGTCAGTGCCTGGTTTTGGCTACATGTTTCGGCTATTAAAAGCCATCATCGGGCAAATACATGGCTAACATATATACACCACTGAACTGCAGTAATAGTAAAATTGGATACAATACTATTAATTATATAAATACTTGACGTAAAAATACAACAAATTAGACTATATAAAACAAAAGTTATAGTATAAAACAAGAATAAAATTCTTCGATTGATGCTTTACATCATCGAGTCAATCGTTGGTTTTTGTAATTTTGTTGCGTTCCCACGGACAAATTGGAGTATCCTATATTTTGTGTATATATAAAAACGGTTATTGGAGGCTCGTGATGTAGATGTAGTAATATTAATGTTAATCTGAAAATGATATGAAAGTAATGGTATTAAATTTTGTTATAATCAACAATTGATTTTGGTATTGAAGTTATAGTGTATTATTACTGACTGTTTAGTCGGTGCCTCATCTTACAAAGTACTGTCCGTTCTGTAGGGAATGTAAACAACGACTGATTTGGTGATGTAAGATTAAAGTCAATGCAAGGGAGGGGGGGGAGGTAGAGATAAGGTGTATGCGGAAGTGAAGTAAGGGGGAGGGGGGTATGACTGTATATTATGTTTTGTATGTATCAATTATTACATCATATATATAGGGTTAAACATTTCGGTAACATCATTCAGTTGCAAATTTAGTTTGCTGATTACCTAAATGTGAAATCTTTCATATGTATCCAAGGTTCGGCCTTTCTTGTCGATATATAGAACTTCTGTTTTGTCTATCTTACTATATTCATGTGTGGTGTCCAATGTATGTTGAGCAAATTTGGAGCTTTGTCCGCTATTTTTTATGTCTCGCATGTGTTCTCTGAATCTGACCTTAAAGGTACGTCCGGTCTGTCCTACATATTTTAATGGCCAGTCAGCATATTGTAGTTGGTAAACCCCACTAAGATCATACATATCATTTTTGTCATCATTCTTTTTTAACAGATGTCTTACTGTTCTAACCTGAAGATGGAAACATTACTGTCATGTGTAAGGGTACCTGACTACCTGACTGGTATGGATTGCNACCGCCGTGAAAGCCTCAAATATTACACTATTGCTGATCTATACACTTTACAGTTCGCCGTTACATACATACACGTACAATACTAGTGTCCTCAGTCTGTTACACTCTCCACTAGCCGTTTCCTGGCAACGATTTTAACACAGGACCTACGTGTATAGCAGTCTCACTGAGTTACACAATGCACATATCGCAGTACTATAGTACACGTAAAGTCATCTCTTCATAATCAGA